TACACCAGTAACACATCAGCAATCACACTATACAGATCTACTACATCAAATGGAAAATCCCAAGTTTCAAGATTCACATATCCAGACCAATTTAAGTGCAATTGGTATAAACCCAGATGACTGAGCATGAATATTCAACAAAACCTAACCCAAAGCAATTAAAGCCAAAACAAATTTAACACAAACCCAAACAATCAAAATATAACCCATTTCACATAATCCCACTGATTTTAAGAAAATAACCATCAACACTACCTTTTTTCTAAACTTGTGAAAATTCAGCTTCGTTATGCATATAAAATTGGTGGCATATATGGCTATTTCCCTAAAAAAAAAACCTAAATACCCCACCCTCTCTCTCGCGCGCGTAAGACCCCCTTCCCCTGATTCATTCTCCTCCCGACGGCGTCATCTCTTCTCCCCGACGATTCACCGCCGCCCAGCCAACTCAGGCCACGGCACCGGTCCCATTAGAACGGCGTTGAGCTCCTCTACCCAGCCCACCTGATTTCCCGGCCGTAAAACTCGAGGATCGGTGGCTGTGTCGACTGGCAGTTGCGCCAGTTTTCCGGCGACGTTTTGCTTTGAACCAGGTATGAAATCGCATCCTCTCCTCGTGTTTTTGCTTTTTTGCTGTTTCTATAGGTTATTAAGATCGAATTCTTAGTTTGAAACTCAGTTCAAAACCTAGAAATTTTCAGTTTTTGGATTAATTTTCCGGCCACGGTTTTGACGAACCAAGTGTGACTTACTGGCTTTGATGGATTGTTGTGTTAAATTGGGTCTGCAAAATTTTTTATATTTGTTTATTAGAGGCTGTTGTGATTTGATGCTTGCAAAAATCCAATTCCTCTCTTCTAGAATCCTCTTCGGTCTTTGAAAATTAAAGACATTCTAAAGAGTTCAACCACAAAAACAACCCACTCATCATAACAACAGAAGAGATCCAAGTAAGTCCAGCTTTTATTTTTTCTGTTTGTAGTTTTTTGTTTGTTTGATTCCCGAGAAAACTTGAAAGAAAATACAAGAAAATGAAAATGTTGGGTTTTGGTGTGTTCCCATTAGTGTTGTGTTTTCTTCCTCGAAGAAAATGAAAATGTCAGGTGTTCCATCTCAGCGACCGTATTTCCTTGTTTGTATCTTTTATTTGGTTTTCTGAACATTTCTGGACATTTCCTAGTAACCAAACCAGCAAAGAATCTGGTTTAAGTTATATTTGTTGAAATGTACGGAATTTCTTCCTCTGTTCGGAATTTCAATACAATTCCCGTGAAGTTTGCGTGTTTATTGGGGTCTTTCATTTGGGTCTGTGCAGAAATTTGAGAAGACCCATTGGACTGTAAAGATTTTCAAGTAATGGAGGATGTTCTGGACCAGCAAAGTCAACCACTTGGTATGTATAATCATACTTTGACCTTCATTTTCAGTTAAAGAAATAATTTTTAGTTTCTACACTCCATTAAATCTTTGAGGTACACTCGGATACTGTAAGACATGTCAAAACTATCTATATTGTTACTGTAAAAGCAAATCCGTTATGTAGTTCTATAACAATCTTAAGAGGCTAACATTACTTGAATGGATGGTGTCCAATAGAAACTGAATTGAAATCTTGTCGGATGCCCGAGGTATTTTTGGTTAATGCTAGGATCGAACTGAGTGTTAAAACTTCATTTATAAGTTCCATAATTTTATAAGTAGAATTTTCTTCAAATCCTGGTTGTGTTTCAACAACTTTCAAATAAGGTGGTTTTGAAGTGATTGAGTTGAAATAAATACATGAAGATCTTTTCTTATCCTTTTCTCTAACATGACAAAATCTTCAATCTCCAATTCTTGTTGGTCATTATCAAGCCAAACTATTGTTCGGTTAGAACTTGATAGCATTTTGGAAATAATTTATGTTTCGAGAAGGAACACAATGCTTGGACACAATGACGGGGGCTTTTCTCCTCCCCATACACTGATTCATCATTCCTCATTATTTTTATGTTAGTAACTGACAAATCCCTGTATTCACAAATCATAATAAATATGTGGGGATGTCAGTTATATAGGCCATGTATAATGTGTACAGGTGAAAGAGAAGAATGTTGTTTTCCCCTCTGCTTAGGAGTGGAGCAGATTTTTAAATGACCATATATTATGGTGCACTATGAGTATTCTATTGAAACTCATGTGAGTTTTGGAAAGAGACGTCACAACATAGGCTAGTGACAATTATATTCTTTGTAGGTCAAGATGGTGAAAGTGAAATAGTAACTGAAGATGCTGCATTTGTTCATGGGGAACCTCCTCAAGATGCTAATGGCCTCCCAAAAGTTGATTCTAAGGTGGAAGTCCTTCATGAGAAAGTCACGAAGCAAATCATTAAGGAAGGTCATGGTCCAATACCATCCAAATATTCAACATGCTTTTGTAAGTGTCAAATGCTTGCGTATTCTTGCACTTCTGCCACAATAACGTTTAAATACTAGTAGATATTGTTTCCTTTTTGGTTTTTCTATGTACATTAGTTGAAAAACCAGGAATTCTTTTGTGCGCATGTAATTTCTTAGCATTACTTACCATTGCATTCTTGGGCTTTGTGATATGATCTGATATAATGCATTTTAGGTGTCTTTTGTTTGGCATTAAACATACAGTTTTAGATGGATCCGATTTCTTGTTGGAAATTTGATGTTATCACATAAACTAGGGTTCTATAGGGTTTTGGGAGAGTGTAACGGGAAGGGTGCGATCAATTAAGTTGAGGGTCCCAATTTGGCATGCAAGGCTTCAAAATCTTTACACTCACTACTCTAGAATACTCACTTGTGCATATTAGTATAACAATAGTTGGTGTATGAGGAGATCATAGTGCATGAATACAGTAAATAGGTGTTTATGTAGAAAAGAAATAAATCAATTCTCCAGTATTTTGGTCTAGAAATCAGCCTTGTATCAAGTTAACAGACAACCTTGAATTAAGCCAGTCTGCAAGCTGTAAGTCGCCATCACTACCGGCATACTTTCCCGCAAGCTGGAGACTACATATCATTGGTTGAATGTTTTGTTTGCACAGTAGTCAGTATGAAGATAACTTTATTTCACTCTGTTGATTGCTTTTCATTTCAGGAAAGAGAAAACGCCAAACAATAAAACTTTCATTTTTTTTAACGTATGCCTCATCAACTTTGACTTGTTTCAATATGATTTCAGTTACATTTTTATATACTTCCTCCAATGCAGTTTCAACTACTAGTTACCTGCGCAAGTATTTGTTAGTATAGGCAGTAAGGCATATGAATGAGCTTGAGACTTGCAAACAGACACACATGACATTCACGTAGACAGAGGTTTCTGTACACTTAAACAACACAGTTTGTTATAATACAATTTGTGTAATAGTATTCTATCATTCCAGGAAAGAAAGAAAAAACAGAAAAACAAAACTTTCATTTTTTTAATGTATGCCTCATCAACTTGGACTCATTTCTATATGATTTCAGTTACATTTTTCTACACATCCTCCAATGCAAATTCATCTAATAGTTACCTACTTGTTAAGGTAAAATGCATCGTCAAATTATTATTATTTTTTTATTTTTGCTTGGATAACCACATAGAATTACATTTTTGTACACATCCTTCTCATAGCTGGTTTACGTATAACTTTAGTTAGTCAGGTTCCTTCAATCACTAAGTGACTGCATATATGTGACAGTGCACTACAGGGCATGGACTCAAAGCACACGGCATAAGTTTGAAGACACATGGGATGAACAACGACCACTTGAAATGATTTTAGGAAAAGGTATTCGCCTTGCTGAGTCATCAGTTTCTTAAAATATATACAAAATATATGCAAATGGATTCTGACACATTCCTTGTTCAACCTGCGGTTAGTTCTTCGATTTGTTTATTGCATTTATTCTCTCTAATTACTTAGATCATTTGTGTTCATAAAAAATTCAAGCATCCTATATTAGTATTTATTTAGACAAGTGACGAAAATAAATGCATTGGGCTTCTCCTGAGAGAAATATTTTGTTTCTACAACAGAGAAAAAAGAAATGACTGGCTTGGCTATTGGTGTCTCCAGCATGAAATCTGGAGAGCGTGCCCTTTTACATGTAGGCTGGGAGTTAGGGTATGGGAAAGAAGGAAGCTTTTCTTTCCCGAATGTTCCACCCTTGGCAGATATATCATATGAAGTTGAGCTTATTGGGTTTGATGAAACCAAAGAAGTAAGTTGCTTCCAAATGTCTCTTCACAAGTAGTTATCATGGAAGTTTCAAAATCTCTCTGTGAGTGTTTTGCTTCAGTAATATGCTAACATATATCTGTGGACTCTGCCTTTCATAGGGGAAAGCTCGTGGTGACATGACTGTGGAGGAAAGGATTGGAGCAGCAGATAGAAGAAAAATGGATGGAAATGCTTTATTTAAAGAAGAAAAACTAGAGGAGGCTATGCAACAGTATGAAATGGTTATGCACTTGTAATTCTTAGATATTATATTTATGGTTCTAGATGAGCTTCTGAGTTGTACAGTCTCTTTATTTAGATTTCCTTTTTGACAAGATTCTGGTGGGTTTTCTGTTAGGCCATAGCATATATGGGTGACGACTTCATGTTCCAGTTGTTTGGGAAGTACAGGGACATGGCTTTGGCTGTTAAAAATCCATGCCACCTTAACATTGCAGCGTCTCTTATAAAGCTCAAGCGGTATGAAGAAGCCATTGGACAATGCAGTATTGTAAGTATATGCTCAAACAAGAAAATCATATTCATGTCATGTGCTCAGCAATTGTACCATTCATCCTTAGACACTTGAGAGTTGGATTATAGTAGGCTTATTTGGGAAGTGAATAGCATACTGCATCAACAAAATTTGGATTCTTTCTTTAGCTTTGACCTATTATTTCGGATTGTCGTCGAAAACGGAAATGCTCTTTAGTTACCAATACAAATTTTGAAGGCTCACTGGCACCATTCTTCAATCAAAATTTAAAAGGTCCCTGCTTAAAATACTGCACTCTTATGATCTCTGTAGTATGTGCCCATGCGCCATCCTGTTGTTTCAAATTATATGACTCTTATAACTTGAAATTGTAAATGCGCTGATGTCTAGTAATTGATTTTTATGCATTGTATGAAGGTAGTGATACTTCAATACCCATCCATATAACATCAAAAATGGACCGTGATTAGCACTCCAAAAAAGTCATCATGCACTTCCACCATGTGCAATTTGTCTCTTTTGTTTTTACAAGAGAGGAGTGCAAAATGACTTTTTTGGAGTGCCAATAACAGCTCCCTATCAAAATTCTATCTTAACTGTAATTGAACAATCGCTCACAGGTACTGGCAGAAGATGAAAACAATGTCAAAGCACTATTTAGGCGAGGAAAAGCCAGAGCAGAGCTTGGGCAGACAGATGCTGCCCGGGAAGACTTTTTGAAGGCAAGTAAATTTGCACCCGAAGACAAAGCTATTGCAAGGGAGTTGCGTCTACTTGCTGAGCATGACAAGGCTGTTTATCAGAAACAAAAAGAGATCTACAAGGGAATTTTCGGACCAACCCCGGAACCTAAACCCAAGCGAAATAATTGGTTGATCGTCATTTGGCACTGGCTATTATCATTATTCTACCATGTCTTCAGGCGTGAAAGGCTTAAAGCTGATTAGTCAAAGCTTTTGAAGTCATGAGTTGTACGATAAATGAAGAAATTTATGTATGAAGTCTATTATAATAAACAAGACTAGGAGTTTCATTTGTGGAGGGAGTTTCAGGCCTTTGAGTTAAATCTTAGATGAAACAGTTTTAGCCTGGAAGATACAAAGTGACTGTTCTGAACTGTTCAACAAAAGCTTATTTATCTCATTTCCCCTTTGTTTGATGATAGTTTCAGTTGTGAATTTTTCGTCACTGCCATAATCTTTCAGATTGTTCGTGTGGAACGAGTCAGATTGCTTTCAGTAATGCTTCTTGTTTCTTTAGTTTACCTTTTGCTGGAGAATTCTTGTTTCTCAGTTATAAGTCTATTTGAATGGAGTTTTTTTTTGGTTTTTTGGTCATAGTTTGAACGGAGTATTTGAAAGTAAAGGATTTGGATTTTGACAATATTACTGAACTAGTTTAAGAAAAACTATAAAATAATTATAATAAGTAATAAATAAATAAAAACACTGCATGGAATGTATTCGAAATTAACCATTGGATTTAGGTTTGAAATTATTCATTCCAAATGGACCCCATCTACGACTTTCTTGAGCATATTTGCGAATTTTGGTCTTAAATTCTGGAAATGGAATAGAAAATGTTAACCATTCAATATTCATGAAAAGATCATTTGCCCTCTGTGAATTTCTAATTTTCTATGTCCTTTCAAAAGGAGACGGGCACTGAAATTGTGAAAAGCATTGCTGTAACTATTTTTTTAAATTTTATATATATACAAATGATATTCTACTTAATTTAATCTAAATATTCTACTTAATCTAATCTAAATTACGGGGAGGAGATTTAGAAGAGCACATTTCCAATTTCTGTTGTAACGATTATTCTTTGTACATACATTAGAGGTGAGTTTTCCTGTCATCAGTCACCAGTATAATAATAAAATAAAATAAAAAATCATCCCAGAAGTAAACAACATATCTAATACATATTACAAATATAAAATCAGGGTTTGGTTTAGAATTTTACATAAAGCAAGAAACCCAAATATTTTTTATCTTTTTTTACCAAGGATGGTTGGGCATGGACATCCAAGCACAGTAAGCGCAGACAATCCTTTGGGAGATGTAAACATACACAGCAAATGATAAGCTCATCAACATCAAGTCCTTCCAGTCACCCTTTTGCTTTGGACTTAGATTCTCCTTCAAGTTCTTCCCCAGCCTCTCAAAACCAACAAAAAGCCCCAGCAACAACGACTGCTTATCTCCTTGCTTCTGATCTTTCTCTACGGGCTCACGGCCTTGGCAAGATAGAAGAATGGAATCTGTTCTTGGGCTGCTTCTGCTTTTGGGTTCAAATTGAATGGAACTATTTTTTATTTGGAAAGAATGGCAAATTGAAAGAGCAGATGGACATGGAAGAAAGATCAAATTTTGGGTAATTACGAAGGGTTGTTGGGAGGTGGAGTTGAACAAGATTGGTTTCTCCATGGATGCTTGTGTGGGGAAGTGTCTGGTGTTTGACCATGGAAAAGAAGGAAATGAAGAAACTAATTCCTTCTCAGTGGCCAATGTATAAGAAAATATCTTTTTGTTTTTCCCTATTACATGTGAGAAAATATCTTTTGTGGGCGTGTACAACTTTTTGTTTTTTGTAGGCTAGCATGTATTTAGTTACCCAAAAAAAAAGTGAGCAAGTATTTTTGTGGATTATTTATGTTTTCATAGTTTGAAATGCAAATATAAAGAAGAGTATGAAACTAACAAATTTGGAAAATCCACTATAAACTGGTCATACATCCATTGTATATGAATCATACGCCCATAGGTCCATCCCAATGAAAAAAGTCCTTGATTACATATTGGTGGTCTCATGTTTGAATCCCTATGATACCTTGATAATGTCTGTGTGTGTGAGAGAAATCTACATCCCCTTCTAATTTAGACTTATCTTATTTATTCAAAAAACATAGGGAGGTGATTTTCTCACTCTCATTTTCTCCACTTACACTTCCTTTTACTTTTTAATAATTTTTAATCAATTTTATTCTTTTTTGTTCTATCTATTTCCTATTCTACCCTTACCCTACAATTCCTTTTAATAAGAAGACATGTACAATCACTTGCTAATATTATGAAAGAATAAAAATATGAGACTTATGCATACCTTGCTCTCTGCATATCTAAGCTTGTAATGAAAGTTTGGTTAGTAGCTTTCTTTGGTTCTTCTACCTATAAACATGTTAGCCCAAAAAATTTATTATCTATTAACTACAACAAAGATAAATAGTACTTACATACTTGGTAAAAAGACAAAGAATTTGGCGTATAAATACTTACATTCCTATCCATTTTCAAAATTTATTTTGTTTTATTTTATGTTAACTTTTCTTAATTTCAGTTATCAAAACCTTAAGGGTAGAATTGGAAAGAGAAAGAACAAAAAAGAATAATATTGATTAAAAAATATTAAAAAGCAAAAGGGAGTGTTAAGTGCAGAAAATGGAGTGGGAAAATCAGTTCCCAAAATATATTAATAATAATTAATAATATGATGTGACGAGAATAAACAAAAAAATCTCATAATCAAGGCATGTTGATTTTGAAATTCGAATAATTTTAGCGCTTCAAATATCATTTTTTGCACTCCTTTATCACTCACGCATGATTGCAAGATGATTTAAAATGTGAAAAATCATCACCCTTTTGGAATTTTGAGATCCAATTTGGTATGCCAAAGTCGTTGAAATCAATCAAATTGGATTGTAATGATCGGTGGCAAGCCTCCTCAAAGGCTCATACCTCTCTTTCTTCCTCTTCTACACTTATACGAGGTTGGCCTCTCATTAAAGTTTAGGGTTTTCTTTGTTTTTGTTTGGGTTCGGTCTGTTATGTTTTGTTATCTATGTATTGTCTTTTTTGCCTCTTAGTTTTTGTGATCTATGTTTTGTTAGCTCTGTATTAGTTTTTTATCAATGAATTTGATGAATTTGGGATTCAATGTCCAGTTTTTTTATTCAACATAATAAATTCTCGTCCATGAAATTTGAACTCAAATTTCCTCTTAAAAAAAGTGGGAACTAAATTATGACCACAAAAAAAAAACGGTGATTGGCAAAAATATATATTCTTCTATGCGGATGTTCAAACGTTAAAATTGTGTAGACATCATATATTTTCTACTATCCCTTTTTGCTTTTCTCCCTATTTACAATGACATCCACATACGAGAAGAACTATATATATATATAGTTTGAATCCAAAATCTTAGTAGTGTGTGCCTTGCTTTACTTATGACTTGTGAGGATGACTGTAGAATATTATGTTGTAAGCTGTTTTCAAACAACTTTCCTTAGATCTTCTTGAGTTGTAAAGATTTTGGCACTTCTTTTCTAACAATATGCACTTCAAACTGAATATTTTGTAATTTTTCTGACAAGAAGAAAGGGGGAGGTCATGTAAGTAAAGGAAGAGAGAGAAAGTAAGAGGACGAGCACACTATTTTGTAATTTTGTCTAGCATTTTCTTCTTTTCTTTCTCTCATTCTTTTATTTAAGGAGCTGATTTTTCCACTCCTCTTTTCTTCACTTAAACTCCCTTTTGCTTTTAAATACTTTTTAATCAATTTTGTTCTTTTTTGTTTTTTCACTTTTATATTGTTTCTTTTTCTTTATACTTAATTTTCCAATTTGCACTCTATTTTCAATTTTTTTTTCCCTTTAATCGAGTAAGAAATAATTAACGCTGTATATTTGTCTAGGCAAAATTACATGGTCCACTTACAAAAACTCATGCCCCACGAATAAACCTTGCAGCCTTTTTTTTTTTTAAAGAAAACAAATTTTAGGTGGCCACAAAGAAATATAAATGCATCTAACTACACATTTTTACTTTTTTTTTTTCCATGTTCGTCTCGCTCTTCTCCCTCTCTTCTCCGTCATAACCATTCGGAAAACAGATATTGAATGAAAAAAAAATTTATGAACTTGTGGACATGAATCGGAAAATGAAATTGAGTTTGAGACTATGAGTTTCAAGTTCACATTAATGGAGTTCTCTTTGTTTCATATGAGATCATTTCAAACCTTCATTTTGTTTGGGTACCTTCTCAGAAAATACAAACAGCCAGGGATTGAAGAGAAAAAAAAAATAATGGAAAAGAATTCTTCTCATATAAATATTTCAGCATTCCAAGTCTGCAGGGGAGTCCAAAAGCCTAGGTTTTGTTATGTTACAGTGATGATGGTGAAATCCAAAAGCCTGGGTTTTATTCACTCTCATTGATTGAGTATCCATATCAAAATATGAAAGAGAAAGAATAAAATTGATTGAAAAGTATTAAAAAGCAAAAGGGAGTAAGCAAATCAGCTCCCTTTATTTATTCTTCTCTCTCTCTCTCTCTCTCTCTCTCTCTCTCTCTCTCCGTTCTCGTTTTCTTCTTTTCTTTTCTTTTCTTCCTCTTTCTTTCCTTCTTTCTTCTCTCTATTATGTTATGGTGCTTGGTTATTGGTGGTGATGATGGTCGATTGACTGATTAGGTGGTGATGATGGTCTGATTGGGTCTATGGTGGTGGGGTTTTAATTCAAGCCAAGGATCTGACTCTAGTCGGACTCACGCTCACTATTTTGCGAATCACATTTCGGCCTCATTGTATTAGTATTAGACAAGCGAGTCTGATGTTTTTACCACTGTTGAATTATACAATCCCATTTAAGTTAATCCCCTTCCTTACCAGACTTGAAGTTCAACCGTTATTTAACCTAGTCGAGTACAATGAGGCATACTAACACATGTCATAATTCATTACTCTACATTTACTTTGAAGAAAAGAAAAATACATATCTAGAAACAAAAAAACAATGCGTTGACGTTTGTGGTATTTGAAGACCCCTTTCAAACTAGGTCTAGTCTCTCTTATCCCCTTTCTTCTCTCTATTATGTTATGGTGCTTGGTTATTGGTGGTGATGATGGTCGATTGATTGATTAGGTGGTTATGATGGTCTGATTGGGTCTATGATGGTGGGGTTTTAATTCAAGCCAAGGATCTAACTCTAATCGGACTCACGTGTTCAAAATAGCACGCTCACTATTTTGCGAATCACATTTCGGCCTCATTGTATTAGTATTAGACAAGCGAGTCTAATGTTTTTCTCACTGTTGAATTATACAATCCCATTTAAGTTAATCCCCTTCCTTACCAATCTTGAAGTTCAACTGTTATTTAACCCAGTCCAGTACGATGAGGCATACTAAACATGTCATAATTCATTACTCTCCATTTCGAAGAAAAAAAAAAAATACATATCTAGAAACATAAAAACAATGCGTTGACGTTTGTGGTCTTTGAAGACCCCTTTCAAACTAGGTCTAGTCTCTCTTATCCCCTAGGTTTTCACCATTTTGACTATTAAGTCTCAGATTTACCTTACACGTGTAGGGTGCCTTTCTCAATCTTATCTCGATGTTGGGCCCCATCTGTGACCCCCACACCTCAAATCTAAAACTTAATCTACACCCTCCGATTATAACCCAACGAACTACTACACCCTAGATTCAAAGGAGACCAATATCAAAGCCAAAGTCAAATAAAGAAATGATAATGACGTAAAAAGAATCATTAGTAATCAAAACCCTCCTGAAAACGTTAAAGAAAACGTGCCGTACGAGGCAAGAGATTGAAAACGTGAAGGCCTGCTTTATCTTTCTTATACGACATGACGTTTAAGAATAGAACACCAAATTCAAATGGTTTCTGAAATTTTTTTCTGCAACAATCTTTTGATCTACAGTCATTGAACTGCAAACCCAGGTAGTCCAGTGCTGATCAATCGTCGGAGTCCACTCGACAATGTTGGTTTATGATCAAAACCGTTTATTTTTCGTTCAATATTTCAAGCATTGCCCTTACAAAAATTTAGCCAAATCGAAAATCATTTCATCATTTGATTATCATTGTGAACATTATGTTTATAGAAAACGGTAATGTTCTCACATATTTAGACCTTTACAGCATTAGGTTGAGCAAAATACCAGAGACCAAAGTTATGAACCTGCATTTGCTAAACCAGATTACAAGCAGGTACATTCCAACCATTGAAGTAAATTCCTCTGATAAATCAACACCCAAGCCGCCGTTAACTCCAGATTGCTTCCATGAATAATAAATGGGAGCTGTTTTATAACATTAAGAGAGATGGGGCAGTCTCTGTACAGATTCTGGTTAGTGGTGAAAAAAAAAATGAAAAAAAGAAGAAGAAATACAGCAGAAACTACTTTGGAAATAAACCTAAAGATAGCCATAAAAACTACATTACAACATAAAATTATCGGGGGGCAAGGTTGCAAACACCGGCCACAGTGAAAGTTCTATAGAAACCCCTGTTGATCTGCCAAATCACAAAGAAAGGTTCCTCTTTGTAGCTTCCATTTTTAATAAAAGATCTTTAATATCTGCTTCCATCCTCATCTTCATATTTGAGTACTCACGATGCGCTCGATCTAGAGCCTGTAGTTCTTCGAGTTTCTTGTTCCGCATTTCCTCGGCCTCAACCAAACGCAACTTTGCTATTCTACTCCTATATTCTTCTTCAATTTTTTCATTCTTCGCAATCGCTATGCGTTTCAGCCCCTCAGCTTCTCTTCTTGCATCATCTGCTCGTGTTTGGAACAGCACACGATGGGCTTTTAGTAGCGTCTCCATGGTTATGTCAGACCTGCTTTGCAGTGCCTTCTGAAATGCAACCAGTTGCATGCGCTTATCCATATTTAACATAATCTCGCGAATGGTCTCCTTCACACGTGCTGCGGATTGTCCTGTCATTTCATGAAACTTTCTGGCCATTACATGTATTGGATCAGAGACGATCCTGGCAATGATTGCCTCGACAAAATCAGCCCCACCAATGAGAAACTGTTCTTGTTCCTTCTGGCTGCTAGTTCTATATAAACTACCACTACTTTTCTCTCTCATTAGTCGTTTCCTGTCAAAACTATAATTTGATCCCATTTCATGAGATCCAACGCTATGCGAAGGTGATCTAACATCTTCCTGGTGCCTTGATTGTCCACCTGTCAACTGCTTATGGAAGCTCAGCTGCCTTTCCAATCCATTTGCCATTTTAGAGCTTCCTTCAGGATGTCTAAGATGTTGTTGCCCTTGGACGGATTGACCATTTTGAACGCCTTGTGATGATTGAGACTGTTGTTGATGAGACCCATTTCCATTCATCAAGAGTCTTTGATACAAAGGAACTTCTTTACTCTTAGCCTCATTCTGAGACAGTGCCTGCCAAGGAACTTCTTTACCCTTAGCCTCATTCTGAGCCAGTGCCTGCCAATCAATCCCCTGAAAAAGGGGGCGACTTTTAACCGATTGTTCAAAGTCCATCGAGTTCTGGGTTAGCGAACAACTAGGATTGTGATAAAATGACTGAGAACCTGAAAAAGACACTGACTGAGTAAATCCATCCGAGTTAGTACGAAAAGTGCTTAAAGACTGAACACTCCTTGCTTGATCAGGAGAACCAGGAGCTGCCCCAATAGGTAATAAAACATTAGGCAAGCTAAGCGAAAGATCAAGGGGCTCAAGTGCCAACTTCTCATCCTTCATACTAACACCAGAGTGATCAGCTTTCTCCTGCCTCCTAACAGGAGAGGTAGAAAACAACTCGAAACCCCTAGTGCTTGGTCCTTCCATATCATTGTCCATGCAAGTTAGTAGTTCTCTGGATTCTCTGGCATTCCACCCACCATCTTCTGCTGAATCCACCATATGGGCCGGTGCCACAGCCACGCTTTTCCCTTTGTCCTTAAAATTCTGACTCAGACCCACACTCGCATCGACCATATCCAGCTTAACCACTTCATTCTCCTCCTCCTCCTCTGTTACTTCCTTATCCGACTCGGTGATTTCATCATCATCATCATCATCATCATCATCATCCTCAGCCTTCACTTCAAGGTCTATTCCCTTGTCTTGCTTTGGTCCCTCTTCCAATTCCATCGACCTCTCCACAGCCACGCCCTTGCTCACTTCCTCCTTGCACTCATTACCTTCCCTGAAACTCTCTTTTTCACCATCCCTATCTTCATGACCTTCCATATTCCGAGCTTCATCAATCATATCGTTCTCACTATTTGGCAACCCCTCATCTTTCTTTTCCTCATCTTTCCTTTCACACATATTCTCTTTACTCACATCTTTCACCTCTTCTTCATCCAAAGACTCGCCTTTCTCCTCCCTATTCTCTTCCTCATCCAAAGACTCACCTTTCTCCTCCCTCACCTCGTCTTCATCCAAAGGCTCACCTTTCTTCTCAACCCTATTGGTATCTGTATCAGACCCAGTTCGATCCCGGGCTTCTTCCATTTCAGCTCCACCTTCAGGACCCAATTGGGCTTGACCTTCACCTTCACCTTCACCTTCACCTTCTTCAGCTCCAGCTCCGGCTACAGCTTGAGCTTCAGCTTCAGGCTCAAGCTCACCTTCCTCCATTTCACTACTAGCCCTACTCCCACTCTCAACCTGAACCTCCTCCGTCTCTCTCTTCCTCACCTCAACACTCTTCGACTGCTCACTCCCCACCGAGTCCTTGGACCAAGTCGGTGACTTGGACTTGGACTCCGATTTCGACCCCTTTCCATCCCTAAATCTCCTCACCGGAGACCTAACCCTAGACTGTTCGCTCCCCGAATCTCTCGAATTCGACCACGTCGGCGACCTCACATCCCTCAACCCCTTCCCACCTCTGTCTTCAAACTCCTTCCCAAACCTCCGCCACGACAACGCTCCGCTCCCTTCGCGCCTCGGCCGGTCCCGCTCCGATCGAAACCCTTTCGGAAACTCCGCCGGCGATCGCCTGGACACGGAGAAGCTCTCCGACCTGTGCATCGAGCTACGATCGTACCCTCCGCCATCTCTATTATACCGATCGAGCCCTTTTCTCCGGTCGAACCCGTCGAACTCTTGCTCCGGCCTCTTCCGGGCGGTCCTGGACCCGCCGCCGGCGCCGGCCGAGTCCCGATCATCGTAGGAGCGAGCCGGCGCCAGAGAAGACGCCGACGAGGAGGAAGAGAGCAAACCCTTGCGTACAGTGTCTGGTTTGTAGTAGAAGCTTCTGTGCGAGGTAGAAGAGGAGGTCCGACTGGGGTTCGGGTTGGGGTTCGGATTCGGATCCTTTCCATACGAATCGAGATCGTCGCTGGATCTCAGCCTCTTCATTTCTCCCCCAAATTAAAGAAACAGAAAAACAAATCTAGAAAAAAAAATAAATAAAGAGCTAGAATATGTTACATGAGCTAAAGAGGCGTGGAATTTTGCCCCGAGGACATGTTGAATTTACGGGGATTGCCACGGTAGCTGTTCGAAAGTGAGCTAGGGGGTTGCAGAGAGACCGGCGGAGGAAGGTAGGGGAAAGAGGGGAGGGGTAAAATTGGGAAAATGGTGGTGGTGTTGGTGTTTCAGTTTCGGTGTGTTGGATTCAAAGTTTGGTAATGTTTGAGTCAACGCAGTTTTAACTACTGAGGAGAGAGAAAGCGAGAGAGAGAGAGAGAGTGAGTTGGATACGCAAAGTGCGTGGAAACGCATTCAAGTGTGAGTCGTTTTGTTGGCAGAGCAAGAGAGAGGTGTACTTTTGTTTGAATGCACAAAGTAGAAAGCTGCGTACTGCACCAGGCGCACGTTAGCTGCTGGTGGTGTTAATTAAGAACTAGGGCACATTGACACATAGTAATAAAGCTTTGGCAAAATTGTAGCAATGGTCTTGGAGTAAAACCAAATTTTACTTTTCGTCCCTCATATTGCTAAATTGTTACGATGGTACTTTAATTATGCCTCCACTTCCAAAAATACTTTAATTATGCCCTCCACTTTCAAAAATCGTCTTTTCCTTCATTGCAATCAATTTTTCCGTTAAAAATGATGACATGGCATGGACAAGTCCTACTTGGCATGGGCAAAAATGTCTTTTCAATACTTTTTAGGGTTTAATGCTGCTTCAGCTATTTCTATTCCTTTTTTTTTTCTTTTTCATCGAACTGTTCTGTTTACTACAATACAAATAGTACCACCTTCTCAATCTCCAAACCTAGGGATCAACATAAAAGAGATTAAATGTTAGAAATTTTCTAACGGAGATTTGTAAGATGGTGTTGTTCTAGTCAAACAATATGGGTAGAATATTTTCAGATATATTTCATTCTCCGAAAGGAGGTATTTATAATACAGGTTACAAACCCTAGTAGTGTTTAATTAGGAAATAAGTGGAATCCTAATTACATAATATCTATACAAAAGGAAAAATAAATAAAACCCAAATAGAATAGGATATATTCTACTCGCCAACACTCCCTCAAGTTGGAGCAAAGACGTCACGCATGCCCAACTTGTCAAGCGAGTTGAGAAAGATACTTGTAGAAACAGCTTTCGTAAGAACATCAGCTAACTGATACTCTGAACGGATGAAGGGGAAGGACACAATCTCTGCATCCAACTTTTCTTTAATGAAATTTCGATCAACCTCCACATGTTTTGTACGGTCATGTTGTACAGGATTATGAGCAATTGCAATCGCAGCCGTATTGTCACAATATAAATTCATGGGTTTATTAGGCCCAAAACCAAGGTCTTTCAACAATCTCCTCAACCATAGTAACTCAGATACACCATGGGCCATTCCCCGATACTCGGCCTCAGCACTAGATCTAGACACCACCTTTTGTTTCTTGCTCCTCCACGTAACAAGATTGCCACCCACAAACATAAAATACCCAGATGTCGAACGCCTATCTGTGGCTGAACCTGCCCAATCAGCATCTGTATACCCTTCTACATTTGTATGGCCATACTTGGAGAAAATTAACCCCTTGCCAGGAGTTACTTTCAGATACCTTAAAATACGAGTTACAGCCCCCATATGATCCACACTAGGAGAGTGCATAAACTGACTCACTATATTTACAGCATACGCAATGTCCGGACGGATATGAGCTAAATAAATCAATTTCCCCACAAGTCGTTGATAACGTTCTTTATCAGTCGGAACTTGATCGGGATATATCCCCAACTTATGATTCTGCTCACTAGGGGTATCAATTGGTTTACAATCCAACATTCCAGTTTCTGCAAGTAAATCCAAAACATACTTTCTTTGGGATAGAAAAATATCATGTTTAGATCTGGCAACTTCAATCCCAAGAAAATACTTTAAATCACCCAATGATTTCATCTCAAACTCATAAGCCAGATACTTCTGAAGACTCTGTATCTCCACATGATCATCTCCAGTCACAATCATATCATCAACATAAATAATTAAAGCCGTCAATTTACTTTTATGACGCTTCAGAAACAAAGTATGATCAGAGTTACTTTGCACATACCCAAACTTCTTTATGGATGCAGCAAATCTTCCAAACCACGCTCTTGAAGACTGCTTTAATCCATACAAGGATTTCCGTAGCTTGCACACCACACCCTCCTTAGAAGTCACAGGGATACCCGGCGGAGGATCCATATATATTTCTTCCTTGAGATCACCATGGAGGAATGCATTTTTGACATCAAATTGTAGCAACGACCAGTCACGGTTAGCAGCTAAGGATAAGAGCACGGGTACAGTGTTGAGCTTAGCTACTGGAGCAAAAGTCTCTGTGTAATCCACTCCATATGTCTGAGTATACCCTTTTGCTAGCCTTGTAACGGTCAATGGAACCATCAGCCTTGTGCTTCAAAGTAAATTTTGGTAATGGAACTAACTCCCAAGTAGCATTTTTGTTCAAGACTTCCATCTCAACATGCATTGCATCTACCCAGTTTTGATCAGATAGAGCATCCTGCAACTTAGTTGGCACACATACACTAGATAATTGACACAAATATGATGCATATGACTTAGATAAACGATGAGTTGACATATAATGGTTAATGAGATATTTAGACTTGGCATGTATATCAGGAGAATATTG